ATACGCACAAATATATATATATACACACACATGCACAAATATATATATACACACACATGCACAAACACACTCATAAGTCAACAGGTTTTCTTTCAGCTAGTATAAAAAAAGGAAAAAATATTTCATTTACAATAGAAACAAAAACTATAAAATACATGGAAATAAATTTAATCAAAAGACTATCTCTATTTTAATCAAAATTATAAAATCTTTCTGAAAGTTATAAAACAAGACTTGAAGTAATGGAAAGGCATACCATGTTCTTGAATGAAAAAAAAGCTTAATATAAAAAATGTTAATTTTGTGAAAATTAAATTAATTCCAGGCAGTTCCATTTAGAATACTGATGCAGTTTGTTTGGCTTTTTAAAAATTGAATTAAAGTTTAAATGTGATGCCCCAAAATAGATAAGAAAAGCACGAAAATAACACTCAGGTGAACTTGCCTTACCAGATATCAGAATATTTTATTCCTGTATTAGCCAGAATAAGCTATATTATAGTAGATAACAAATTAACCCCAAACCCTAGTGCCTTAACACAACAAAAATCCATTTCTTGCTCATGCTACATGTCCTAATGATTTAACAGAGGCCTATGTTATATAGTCACTCAGGAGTTCAAGATGATCAAAACCTGTTGTCTTGTAGCTGCATCATTTGGGACTTGAGAGGAAAGAATAGATGGAGAAGCCTCTTGCTGTCTCTCTCTCTCTCTCTGTCTCTCTCATACACAACACACACACACACACACACACACACAATCTCTTACTCTTCCTAGCCCCCTTACAATCAGGCAGAGCCTTGTGACTAATTCAGCCAATAGATTTTGAGTGGAAATGATATGCATTACTTTCTGGCTGAAGCACAGAAGTGTGTGTGTGTGTGTGTGTGTGTGTGTAGTGTTACTATAAGAATTGATCAGTGGGAGACTAGGGAATATAAATATCAGATTGCATATATTTGAAAATTTAATCTATGACAAGAATAATAATTGAATTCCCCAGGAAAATGAATGGAGTTGTGAAAATTAGCTAAGTATATAGGGAAAAATTATACTAAACATTTTACGTAATATAAAATAATAAATTCCAGGTGAATTAAAGACCTAAATGTAAAAAAATGAAACAATAAAAAGCTGCCAGGAGAATCTAGGAGACTGTGTGGAAAAAAAGCCAGGATTTGGAGAGACTTTTTAAAACGAAAATGTTATTAAAACCCAAATGATATTAAAGCAAATACAGGCTACACAAACATTGTTTAAGGTTTTATGGCAAATACATAAATCGAGAGATAAATAATAACATTAGAAAAAATATTTGAAATATCCATGATGGGCAAAGTGTTTGTACCTATAATATACAAAGAGCACTCATCAAACAAACAAAAAAATGACTGGAAAGGTATCCAGCAGAAAAAGGGACAAGAGATATGGATAGGCAATTTATAGAAAGGAAAATCTATATAGCCAAAAAGATCCTGAGAAGTTCGAATTCTCTCGTAGTAAGGAAAATAAATACTAGCTATTAGCGTAGTCAGGAAAATAAACACTAGCTATTAGCAATGTTATATTTTACATGTTTTAGACTGACAAAATTAAAAAAGACCTTTAATACTTATTACTAGAGTAGACGTAGAGAAAGGGGTAATTTAATTGCTAGTAAAATGTAACAATGTCATACTTTTAAAGGGCAATATGGCTACATTAAATAGAAATAGAAATATACAACACAGGTATATATACATATGAATATAAATATAATCCATTACCTAGCAATTCCATTTGAAATCTATCCCATAGAAATAAAATATGACTGTGGAGACATATGTAAAAATGTTTAGTGTAGCATTGTTTTTAGTAGCAAAAACTTGAAGCAAAGTGAATTTTCATCATTAGGGAAAGGAATGTATTAATTATGGTACATCCATAACATAAGAATAATATTTAGCCATTGAAAGGAATGAGTTAAATCTGTATCTATTGACTCCGAAGCATCCAGACAATGTTTTCAGTGAGAAAAACAAAATTCAGACAATAGTGAAGATCCTGTATTTTTATACACTTACATGTATGGGTAGTGCTTGTATTTCTTTTATATAGTATTAAAGAGTTTGGACAAATAAGGATTGATTTCTACTAAGCTGTCAACAGGATTTCCTTTGAGACTGGTGGGCCTGTGTCTTGTGTCAAGGAGGGAGTTCAGTAAAAAAGAGGATTGAGGAAAAAAGTATACAGGAAAAAATATCAACGTTTGGAGGAAGAAATATATATATAGTATCTTGTCTGTACATTTGTGCAAAGTTATCCCTATGTGGGGAAGAAAGTCTCCATAGAAGGGGCAATGCTAGAAAAGTTCCCTCCTCTGAGCACGTATGTAAACCAAGGATACCTTCTGCTACCGTGCTGTTTTAAAAAATTGTGAACCCATCATAAACATGCTTTGTTTTGTGTATGTATGTATGTGTGCATGTATGTGAAAGAAATTAACTCTAGCCAGTCATACATATTTCTAGGACATGGCGACCTGCCCTGAAGACTCAGGAGCAGGAAGGAGAGTCCTGAGGTTAGCCTTACCCACAAGTCAGCACTGGGAATACAGACCCTTGAAGACCAGAGTATGGAATGCAGGTGTTCTTCTAAGTGAGCTAGGCTGTCCTTGTGGACCATTAAGCAGAGTGGCATAGTTTGACACATAAAACATCTATCTGGAATATTCTCCTCCCTTTCACCCTTGGCTTCTTCTCATCCTTAACACATTCTCCAGGCTTTTCCACGGATGTGATTTTCTATCATGTTTCTTGATTGCCCTCATTGTTCCTTCCCCCTTCCCCATCTTTTCCTCTCATGCAGAGTCTAGTACCTTTGCTTATCATAATACTGTCAGTTTGTGTACTTAATTGTCTCTTTCTCCCTCATTCGACTGTGTTTGCCTTGGCTGTATCTCCGGCACAGCACCTGGCTCAAGATATCAACTCTCTCTATTAATGGAGGATAAATGGATAAATCCTACTTTTTAAGTTTGGGTTTATTTACTTTCTTCCTCCCCACAAAAAAAATTTTTGAGGAAAGTTGCTTTAGAAAATGTCAGTCTGCCTCCACTTAACAGGAAAAGAGAAATACAACTTTATACAGCGTAGAGGAAAAATTAAAGATAGACACGCACACGCCCTTTCTCTCAGCTCTGTTAGGTGATGGAAGGAGCAATGAGAGATCCAGGGTGGTAGAGAAGTCGATTCCTTTGCTGCCCCTCCCCCCACCCAAATAAAGGGGCACTGGTCTCTTCTAGGCATCACTGGAGTTTTCTCATTGGGGTTTAGGAGTGCCTAGAGGACCCGGCAATACAAAGTACGGTTCATATAAACGCTGAAATTTCAGGCTTCAACAAAACCAGAGTGAACTAGTAGATTTCCCACCCCCGAGAGAGGATCCGATTTTAGCGCGGCATAAATAAGTGCAATAAATCTCTAAGCCTTAAAGCGCTTCCAAAGACTGAATTAGCGCTCTCCCGGCAAAGGCGCGCAAGCAGGCGGGACTAGTGCGTAAACGCGGCTCCCGGGAGAGTCCCGGCTGCCACTCACACAAGCCTTGCATGCTACCCATCCGCGCCCGCGTCCCACAGGTCCAAGTCACCGCAGTGAAGGCGAGGGGGAGGGGAGGCATCGCAGGCAGAGGAGTAGATGGCCCCCAGAAACACTCTGAAGGTTCGAGTCCAGACGAAACCGCATCTCGATGGCAGTCTGGCTGGAACGCGCTCCAAACCTCAGCCTATCTCCGCTTCTCCAAAACGGTTCGCACAGACGGGCGAGCCCTTCCCACCTCTTCCCGGTGCCCGGCGCCAGCTCGGTGATTTGAAAAGGCCTTGGACTGGGGGGAGTTCAGGCTTCGAAGTAACAATGTCATAGGTAGCAGGAGTGGAGGGGTAGCAGGAGTGGAGGGGAGGGAGGAAAGACGAGCAGACCTCCAGTCCCTAGGCAAGCCTGGGAGCCAGGAGACGAAGAGCACCCGCACGCCACCGAGATCCTCTCCCAGGCCCGCAAGCCCAGGAGGCGCGGAGGCGCAGAGGCGGAGACTTCCAGGTCCCAAGGCAGCGGACGCGAGGCCGCAGCGAGTGCTGGCAGAGAGCCCAGAGCCGCGCGTCTGGGTGACACACTGCTTATGAGTGGCTCCTGCGCTCATCAAGGGAACCCAGCACAGTACCCATTGCCTGCGTGGGGACTCATCTGGAGAGTTCAGCTGGAGCGTTTCATGGAGCGAAGGGTGGAGGAGAAGGTGTCCCCAAAGCTTGGAACATATCCCCGCTTCCCAGGGGATCGGCCCGCCAGGGAAAGGTACTAGGTATTTTACGGGTGTTTTCTAAACACGACTTCGGGAAAGTTGTTTTCCAGACAACTTGGTTGGTCTCCTGATTCCTAGAACCAGTGGTCCTCGCCTCTTGCTTTTCCATAGCCACCAGAGCAAGCCTCCTAATGGAGCGCGGACTGGAGAGCAGCCGGGAGAGCAGCGCTGGCATGTCGTCCCCACAGTTGCCCGACTCCCAGAGCCACAGGCAGGCGCCTCTGCAGAACTGTCGCAACGCTCAAGGCTGCCCTCCCAGGAAGTTGAGTGTCAACCACTACAGCTCTTTCGCAAACCATTCCATTCCATTTGGTGCATCTGTGGTTCCAGCTGCAGACCTCAGCTGGAGCAATTACTCCGAGGCCGCCTAGCGCCCCCTGGCGGAGAGCGTGGGACTCCCAGCTTGCCGACTCCCATAGCAGGTAGCTGCAAAAGGCGTGGTGGTTGCGACGCTGAAGTGAGACAGTTGCCAACAGCTGGTGCAGCTGCCTCGCTGCGCACCGGGACTGGAGAATACGCAGCCCAGGAACTGCCCCTTCCCAGTGACGTCTCTGCAGCGGGTTATAAAAACCTGGCGCATAGTCTGCGAAGGTTCAGCTAACTCCTAAACCGAGCAGGACACAAGCCAAGAGGCGCCTGCGGAGCTGCCGGCGGTGGCGGAGGCAGCGGCGGCAGCGGCGGCAGCGAAAGCAAAGGAAAAATTTCTAGCTGGACACGGTACCCGAGAATCCCAGCCATAGACTCAGAACTTTTACAGGTCGTGCTGTGACGAGCACCCTCCTTGGCCCCCAAGTCTTCAGGCAGTACAGGACTTTGCCTTCCCTGCTGCAGGCAGGGGGGATAGGAGTTGCAAGCAGCAGCAGGTGCAGAAGGGCGGGGGTCTCCTGATTCCTGGAACCGTGACCCACAGAAAATTTCCCCCCTTTTCCAGCCCAACGCAGGAGAGATGGTGTCTTCAGATTTCTGAACTCAAATGCTTCCTGAAGCTTGAAAGTAAAGGAATTCAGAGCCACGAGGTGCAGACAGACAGTGCATTAGAAGCCTTCATCGTCCAAGCTCCAAATCTCCTGCTTGCAAGGAAACAGTGCTGCCGGAAAGATCCTGCAGCCCTCTTGTCTTGGCTAAACGGAACTCTGACCCCAGGCACGGCCTTGGGACCCTGCTGCAAACTGGGTGCGTATACAGAGGACAGCTTAACCCCTTAGCGGAGGAATGGATAACGTTCTCCCGGTTGATTCAGACCTCTTCTCAAACATCTCCACCAACACCTCGGAGCCCAATCAGTTCGTGCAGCCAGCCTGGCAAATTGTCCTTTGGGCAGCTGCCTACACGGTCATTGTGGTGACCTCCGTGGTGGGCAACGTGGTGGTAATGTGGATCATCTTGGCCCACAAGAGAATGAGGACAGTCACCAACTATTTCCTGGTGAACTTGGCCTTCGCGGAGGCCTCCATGGCTGCATTCAACACAGTGGTGAACTTCACCTACGCTGTCCGCAATGAGTGGTACTATGGCCTGTTCTACTGCAAGTTCCACAACTTCTTCCCCATCGCTGCCGTCTTTGCCAGTATCTACTCCATGACGGCCGTGGCCTTCGATAGGTGAGTTTGCCCTTTTGGGGAACTGGAGAAAGTGTCCACAGAGGACGATGGCTTTGCTATGGGGCTGCAGGGTTGAGTTATGCCTGGTTCAAGATGGAGGGAGGGTGGTCACCTGTAGATGGGTTTTTACTGACAGCCAGTTGTTGATGGGGGACTTTGTCTTATCTCACTATTTTCTTTTTCTATTTCCTCATTCCTTTTCTCCTCCTTTTCACCCATCACCAGTCTCTGTTTCTTCACACACATCCCTTTTTTCATCATTTAACCCTCTTTTCTTCATCCCTTCTCTACCCATCTCCCAGACACTCTTTTCAACTCCTGCTTTGCTTCTTTCTATATATTCCTTCTCTCCTTTGCCCTGAAATCCTGAAGGGGCAAACCCAGGGTTTGGCCAAGGGGCAGGTACCTGCCTGGGGCTTTGTAAAGCCCTGCAGGCCTGCTTCTGCTGGGCAGCCTCTTGGTGCCTTTCCAGTTTTAAGACGCTTAGCCAAAATTTCTCATTTTTCACTTTTCTTCGAAGATTCAGGGACTTTCTGTTCCCACCTCAATCTTCTAATATCATTTGGATGTGAAGAGTGTTTCATTAGAATCATAAATATTCAGAATTCTAATTCAGCTTCCCCTGTGCTGCTAGGAGTTCTAATTCAGGAATAAGAGACAGCTACACCACTTTTAAGGAACTCCACAGATAAGGAGCTTACTCAGGAGTTTTTCTCAATTTCTCTCATAATGTGAGGTTGATGTTTTTAGGCTGTCTGTATCTACAGAGAAAAACATGCTTGGCAGAGGTAATTGAGAGCTTGTTCTTTCCTACAACCAACAGGTTGGGGTTTCAGAAGCTGACCGAAAGTGAAAAGGTTGTCATTTTTAAACGCTGGGGCTTGTGCTCTGAAATGAATGCCCCCTTGGGTGGCCTGATGGAAAATTGATTAGTAGAGCACAGCTCTATTTGTATTCACTTTTTTGTGAGTGTTCTAGGTCTCTCACGTGTATATCTATGTGGGCACAAGTGTTAAATGTTTATTGGAGAAGTGGAAGTATGTTTAAAACACCTGCCACTGTGCTTTTAAAATGGTTTTTTTGATGGGCTCGTTAAGATAAATAAATGTGAAAAACGCAAAGAAGGAGCTGGGAGAAAAACTTCAAAAAAAAAAAAATTTTCCCCACCTACTAAACCCTTTTATATAAAGATTGTTTATGATTTACAATTGATTTATGGTCTTTTTCAGCTTCTATAGTGAATGAGCACTTGTAAGATCAGAGGAAGCTATGTTTCCTTTGCAGTGGTGTCCAAATGCTGATTTCTAAGTTTCATGTACACCTCCGTTTATGCAATTCTTATGTGCTTGGTACATTGTATGTAAAACATGTTGCGGTAAATCCATTATATTTTAAATATGGAAGGCAAACCAATTACTCAAAGTGGTAGAAAAATGAATTCTTTGTAAATATCTTTCATGCTACTCTGGTTTTCAGATAGTCAGTTTTCTGAAAAAGAGGTACACTTATAAATATTTGTGCACTGACTTGCTCCTTTAACCTCGCAGTAGCTCCCTTAAACTTAGCAAACCCATAACATGAATGGGCACAGTGAAAACCAGTGCCTTACACCTGCTTTCTGGATAATCCCTAAATTAGAGGGGAAGTTGGTATTTGGACTTCATTGGAGCCTTGCACGAGCTCGGGAGACCTGTCAATCTATATTGACCCCAGGTGACAGCACTTTTGTTTGGGCTTACACATAAATGACATGTTCCACAGCCCTGCTCTTTCCGTTCGAACTTAGAAGGTTGGGGGTGGGAGTCAAGGTCCAAGTCTTCACAGTGGATTGGGTAAGGAGACAGATTTCAGCTGCCTTGACTCTGGCATCTCAGACTCCACTCTTTCTCTCTAGACAAACCATTAACAGGACCCTAACCCCGTGTGACTCCTGCTTAGTGAAGTCAGAGGATCACTGATGCCAAAGCTGAGGGAAATGACAGTATCAAGAAAGGTCTCCGTGTCCCTAATGTACAGATACAGCCCAAGGAGATTATCGACGACATGCTCAAGGTTAGAGGTCAAGGTGGAGTTAGGAATGAGGTGTCAAGGCTATGTCTCCAAATCCTCCCAGTGCTCTTTCTATATTTCCTTGCTCACCTCATGAGCACACAGTGAATTCATCCCCTCGGCCCTCTGCTCCCCTCCATTTGTGGTCATCTATTCTCTCCCAAGAATGGTTTAGAAAGGAAGGGGACTTAAGCTCCTTCATACGAATGGTATCTCCTTTCACGACAGGGCAATGCAGGCTTGGAGAAAATGTTAAGCTATTTTTTTTTTTTGCAAGTTCCTCGAATTTTTAACAGATAATTTTTGAATCAAGTCTTTAAAAAATGAGAGCAACATGATTTTCCTGATTATAAAATTAAACCTTGTTCATTGCAGAAAACTTGGGAAGTATGAAGAGAGTAGATACAAAAATACAAATCAACCATTACTTCCCTATGCAAAAATAACACTTATTAACATTTGAATTTCTCTCTTATGAATATTACACTGCATAATTGAAGTCAGATTCTATATAATTTTGTAGCTTACTTTTTCCATTGATATTAATGGAAAACATTAATAACATTTTCCCATGTTATTAAAAAACTTCCGTAACATAATTTTAATGCCTTCCTACTATTCCATTATATGAATGTGCTATTATTATTTTTAAGCAATCCCCTACACTGGGTATTTAGGTTATTTCCAGATTTTTTTTTGATATTATTATTAATGTGCTAATAAACATTTCTGTATGATCATTTTTTCCCCTTAGGATAGATTCCCAGAAGTGGAATTACTGGGTCAAGTGAAATAAATTTTTTAAAAAAATTTTCCTCCTAATTTTAAAGGATTATAAACTCTGAGCAAGGCAAAGAACATGTCTGTTCTCTGTTGTTTATCTCCTCAGCAAAAGCAGCGTGCTTGGCATCTAACAGTCACTACAAGTTTATTGAATAACTGAATGAATGAGTAAAATAATACATGTAGTTCCTAGAAGAACATTGGGAAAATACACAAAATTGTAAAGCAAATGTAAAAATCATCTACCCCACCCCACTTCTGACAGATAACCAGTTAAAATTCTAGACTGCTAGCTTATACTTCTTCTCTGTTATTTATGCCACATATAGCCACACTTTTACGGATAAATTTTGAGTCATAACAAAAACTGTTTCAATAGCTGCTTTTTTGTTCTTGATTTTTTTTTTTCCTTAACATCGTGTTGTGGGCATTTTCCGTGTCATAAAATAGTTTTCCGAATAGCATTTTTAATGGATGCATGCACTATATTGCATGGCTATAATCATTTATTTAACCATTCCTCTATTTTTAAATGTAAATTGTTTCCATTTGTAATGAATACAAGTAACTTTGAAATAAATATCTGCGACATAAATCTTTGAGAACATCCCTTGTTCTTTCTTTAGAAGAATCTCATTGAAATGGAATTGCTGGGTCAAATTGTCCTGGTAAAATTTGCCAAATTTGCTTCTAGAACCAAAATGTAGGCAGAGAAAAAAACATCAGCAGCAGATTTTAGTAGTAATTTAAATCTTTTCTATAATCTTTCCATAGAATA